TCGGACAGGGCAAGATATGACAAAATAATAATTTATAAATTATCAAGGGCTCATGAGGGAGGGGGAAGTGGGGAGGGAAAATGAGGACCTGATGCCTGGGGCCTAAGTGGAGAGGAAATATTTTGAGAATGATAAGGGCGATGAATGTACAAATGCGCTTTACACAATTGATGTATGTATGGACTGTGATAAGAGTTGTATGAGCCCCTAATAAAATGATTTAAAAAAAATAAGCACAATCGAGTTGTATGGTCAATTGGTCTAAAGCAACTACTTAATCTCTAGGCAACCACATGGTGACTATAGTTGACTTTGTATCATCACAAGGTGATTAAAGGCTGTTGAAGTGATTGCTTGACCGACACAGATCCTTACACATGAAAAACAGTGTGTTTAAAAGGCACACATTACATGAACGTTACAAAATGTGTGTGCTCTGAATTTCTAGGGGTTTGTGTTTCAGTGTGTGTGCCAGGAGAGCCCGTGACTGCCTAGTCATGAAACTCTTAGGTAAGGTTCTGTGTGAAATCCTTTCAGCTGGCAGAGTTTTGTATCAGTGCAACAGGGTAATTGTTCAATGTGACAGCTTCCACTGTCAGTTTCAATGTTTGCTTTTGACATGGGTAGTTAGCAACTGAAAAACAGTTACCATCTGTTGACTATGCGGTAGGCCTGATGAAACAGGTATGGTCAGTTTGCTTGGTTGCCCATCAGTAAATGGATGTATTCCAAAGCCCTGTAGTGTAGTTTAGCCAATGACTGAGTTGAGAGGCATTTACCGAGCACGCACTCTGTGCCTAACACTCACAGTAAATAGTGAGAGCAACAGAGATGTGAACAAACACACGTACATGGTAAGCACAAGAGTAGAGACAGGAAGATGAGAGTCCAAAAGAGGGTGGTGACCAGTGGGCCGTGTGTACGTTTTCACATAGTGCTGTCCCAGGAGACTCCTAGTTGTATCTGGGGTGAATTCCACAGGGAAGCATTGTTAGCAGAGCAGACCCCTCTTTGGCATTTGCTCGGGCAGTACTTTTCAATAAGTAACAGGTTCAGCTCAAAGAACAAAGCCTCTTCGAACCTCCCAGCTGTGGAGAGCCGGGAAATGTTCACATTGAGCCTCAGAGGGATTTGTGAGGTGCTGGGTGCTGTGCCCTGTTTCATCTGCCCCTCTCGCTGGCCTTGTGTCATTTCCACCTGTGCTGACTGGGTGCTGATTCTCAGATGGCGTCATGGTCCAGATCACCGCCGAGCACATGGACTCCTTGAGGCAGGCGCTGCGAGAGATGAAGGATTTCACCATCACCTGTGGGAAGGCGGATGCTGAGGACCCCCAGGAGCACATCCACATCCAGTGGGTGGAGGACGACAAGAACGTCAACAAGGGGTACGAGCAGTGCACCAAGTCCCGCTGGTATTTGGTTACATTGGGCTGGGCTCTGGGTCCTATCTGGTGTTTTGTACCATGACTGCAAGCCCTGTCTAATAGAAAGGACTGCTTTGGATACATTGAAAATTCTGGTTTCTTAGCTTAGTTTCCATGCATATTTTTCATGGGAAGATAGAAAAGAAGTTAATGAAATAGAACATTCTATCTAAAGATTTATGAGTTATTGAGATTATTGTGACACTTAACAATGACTTTAGGACTTTTACAGAGCATTTTCTGATGGTTTTTCATTAGGTAATGTTGTTTCATTGCCTTTCAGACAAGCATTATTATTCCCATTGTACAGATATGTAAACAACACCAAAAGGCTAACTAAGCTGTCAGATCCACAAAGTTAGGAAAGGGCAGGGCTAGCACTCAAAATCACCTCCTCGGGTCTTGGGTCCTATATTCTTTCCCAGAATAAGGTAGCTTTGTTCAAGCCAAAACGTAGGAGTCCCCTTTGACAGTTTTCTTTCCCTGATAGTCCATAACCCATCCAGCAGTAAGTCCTGTTTACTGAACTCCAGAATACACCCAGAGTCATAGTGGCCACTTCTGCTGCCACCACCCTGTTCACGCAGCCTCATTAGCTCTGGGTGATGGCAGTAACCTCCTCATTGGTTTCCTTGTTTCTCATCTTACCTCCCTCCCTTCCCTCTCCCCAGCCTATTTCCAGTACAACAGCTGACTAACATCCTCTGTTCAAAGCCCACCAATGGTGGTCAAAGCCAAAGCCTTCTATGACCTCGGGTTCGTTTAGCAATCTGTTCACTACTCTTTCCCTGACGAGCTCATGGAGTCACTCACTCAGAATCATCAAGCCTCTTTCCCACCTGCCCTGGTCAGTGGCCTAAATCGTGACCCTCTCATACTGCTCTTACCTGCTCCTCTCATTGAATTTTATTTCCCAATATAACTTGTGACTTCCTAATATGGATTTCATTTTTCCTTTATTTATTTCGTTACATTGTCCCTGGGATGTAAGCTCCACAAGCTTACATGTCATCAGCACCAAGAACAGTGCTTAACACTAAGTATTTTAAACATATTAATTAACTGGATCACTATACTACACTTCATTATATTAAGTTTTCTCTTGTTTATTCACCCATCCATCCATATGAGGCGAATTCCTTCTGGTCCTTTCTGACAAGTGGTCCAGTTTAGTTTCAAGACAGTTAAAATATGTGCCCCCAAGGCACAGAAAATGCGAATGGATAATGAGATGGGGTGCAGTGCAAACAGCTTGTTGAGGGTGATAGGAGTATTCCAGAAAGACTGGGTAGAGAGAGAAATGCTGCCTGAGCTCAGTCTGTTAAGATCGCAAGTGACTGTGGATGAGGGCCATTCCCGATAGAGGGAGAGACAGGGCGTTGGGACGTGGCACACCTGAGTTTTGTTTTGTTTTTAAGTTATTGAACCAAATCTTACAAATGATCATTTATCTTCCTAGTCTTCACTGGAAATTTTAATTCCATTTTTTAAGTCTACTGGAAATAGACATGGCTAGTAGGACCAAAAAAGAAAAAAGGAAGATCTAAAAATCAAATACTATACTGTACAGGCAACAAGCCCTTTGTGAACGCAAGTACCAGTGGCAGTAAAGTAAAAAACAGGACAAAAATGCCCCAGGGAGTCTTGGGAGCCCCGTGTGTGACATTCCCTGCCTCCACTGGATGCTGATGTGGCTTATCCCTGAGTGTCCTCCCTTAAAGGGCACTCCCTTCTTTATATTGTTGTCAACTGAGTTAGAAATTAGACTTACATTGTTGACATAGTTTTATTTTGAACAGTTGAAGTGAATGCTTATTATCAAAGTTCAATTTGACCTTTCATTCATAACCAATCCAAAGCAGTTTTGAAAATTATTGGGAAGAGTCTGGAATCTTGGTGCCAAATACTTTGTATCCTCATTAGAATGAATATTTGTGTGTATCTCCACCTATTTATACTGAGAGTATTTCAGGGAGCAGTAACTTTTAAAAAGTGCCCTTTCTATTCAAGTATCTGGGCTTGACTATCAGTGAAGGGCATTTGTTATGAGACAGCCATGTAGATATGTGCTTCTCCATTTATACCAGCACTGTCATAATGAACAAGCTTGCTCAAATCAGTCTTTTAATTAGCAAGCTTTTACTCACCGCCTAAGTGCCAAGCAGTGGTCAGTACTGAGGAAATGGCACACGGGTGGATGAGTGCCAAGCCATGGGTCAGTACTGGGGGATTTGTCATGTGCTCTGCCCTGCAGAGGCCCAGCAAAGCAAGCCCATGAAAGGATGACGTGCTGAGTGTTGTGACAGGGCTGGGGGCAAAGTGCTAGTGCTGCAGCAGAGCAGACGGGAACGCAAGGCTGGCAGGTGCCGATGCAGTCACCGAAATCAGGCATGGTTCTTTACACTAAGAGCATTTTGAACTGTTTCAGTGCCCAGTCCCTTGAGCTCTCTGTTTGTGTGGTTTTCTGTGCAATTGCTTTTTCTTAAAATGATGTGTCACACAGATAGGTTTAGCAAGACAGCCCATGTAATTAACCAGGCCTGTCATTTACAAGCTTTGATAAGGGAAATGTCTTCTCTACCTTCACAAGCTGCTACTAGCTCTTTCCTCTGCTTGTTTTAGTGTCATAAGTCCCATAGATGGGAAGTCCATGGAGTCCGTCACCAGTGTGAAGATATTCCACGGGTCCGAGTATAAAGCCAATGGGAAAGTCATCAGATGGACAGAGGTAAGGAATGGACAGCTGGCATCCTTCATGCACTGTGGGCACAACTTTCCGCTAGGCCAAGATTCACATCCTGGGCCCACTCTTGGGAGGGCAAGACTAAACCTCCTGTGGTCCAGCTCTTTGAGGTCAAATTAGCTCTCAGGGACCAATTGCCTCCACGTGCAGCCTGCAGCCATCTGATATAGCCTCATTTGTATGGACCAGCTTTCAGGGATTTCCAGAAGGATGCGTCCTCCAGTGATGCGTACCTTCCTTACTGTGTCTGCAGAAACTGGCCAGCTGGGCTGCAGTTAGGTTCTGTGCTCCATACCTGCCATACTGTTGGAACACTCTGAGACACATTGGTCTTTTTTTTTTTAAAAAAGAAAAGGGTTGGGCAGGAGTTGAGGAAAAAAAGAAAACTATTGTCCCCAAAAGCAAACAGCCTCAGAGACCAAATAGCTTGCCTAAGATTGCAAAGCAAGTAAGTATATAATGGCCAAGTTCTGATTCAAACAGATCTGTCTAACTCCTAAGCCCTTATCCATTATATTAGGTTGCTCTTTCATTTGAAAGCTGTTCATAGCACAGTCTGGGAAGCTATCCGAGTGGGTTACCTGGGAAGCAAAGGAGCATTGTGTATCTGTTATACTGCTGAGATTTGGAATGCTGGTGGCTTAGTGGGTAACATGTTGAGCTGTTAATTACAAGGTCAGCTATTCAAAACCACCAGCTTCACTGTGGGAGAAAGATAGGCTTTCTACTACTGTAAAACATTGCAGTACCAGAAACCCACAGGGGCGGTTCTACTCCGTTTCATAGGATGGCTATGAGTTGGAATCAGCAGTGAGGTTACACAGAGATCAGAAAGTTCACTCCAGGATTGGTTAATAACTGGAAGTCTTATGCAGGCAGACCTCCGAGATAGTGTGGCTTTGATTCCAGACCACCTCAACAAAGCCACGCTTACTTTAAAGCAAGTCACACAGACTCTTTGGTTTCCCAATGCATATGTAATTTATATTTGCCTTATAATGTAGTTACTAAGTGTGCAGTCGTATTAGGAAAAGTTTGAAATATTGTGAGAATTACCAAAATGTGATACAGAAACAAAGTGAGCACATGCTGTCGGAAAGATGACACCAGTGGAATTGCTGGTTGGTGAGCACAACCTCTGTTGTGTAAACATGTCTGCAGAACACAGCAGAGCGAAGCCTCGTACAACAAATGAGGTCTGCCTATATGGTCCCTGGCAGGTCTTCGGTCTCTCCTTTTCGTTTGAACCTCGCGTACGTTCACTAATTCTAAACATTGAATGATAAGATCCCTAGGCTTTCTTTCAGCCTAAAAAGTCAAAACTTCCCCCAAAATTGTAATTGTGTGACTTTGCACTTTTATTCACAAGGACATAGAGGCATCGCTGTTAAGTGACTTACCCAAGTTGAAACAGCTGGTCCCTGGCAGCACAGAAGGTGAGCCTGGCCCTCCAGCATAGTGGTTCCAAGAGATTTTTCCTTCAGACCAGGCTTGATTTCATTTGCATTGGAGTGATTTTTAACTGCTTGCTTTGTGATAATTGTTCCTTTGATGATGTGCTTTAAGTTGTGTGGAGAGTAAACTCTATAGCATCACAAAAAAGGTTGACCTTTGTACCCTCATTTTTGTGCTCCTGGGAGGTAGGCAGCTTACACATTCCATTATGCAAATGGTTCTGTAGGGTCAGAGTAGTCAGGTGACTTTCTGACTGGCTGGCCTCATGCTGACTGCTAGCTGGGTCTCCAGAGCTCTTTCATCACTTCCTACTGCCACTCCTCAGTGCAGCCAGGCCCAGGGCTTCCGACTTGCCCTGATTGAGTAGGAACTAGGCTTTGGTATTGATAAGTGCCGTGTATTTGTCTGTCTGTTGTTCCTACTTTGTTTTTATATCACTTACTCTTTACAAGAACCAGAATGCTTTCCACTTTCCAGAGGATCCGTGCTCTGTGCGATGAGCCTCAGGTCTCTCACTTCCTAGAGTGCTGTGCTTCAGCCTGTGCACACTGCAGGCCTCAGCTCTGCCCAGAGAAATGTCGGGGGTGGGGGTGGGGGGGTGGGCAATGGGGAAGTGCGGCAGAAAAGTATGGTCCGTGATAAGAGACAGAAGATTCCAGTTCTGGGTTTGGCTCGGCCTCTGAGCAGTTCCGTATACTTCAGCAAGTCACTTCCCTTTAACGGGGTCTGGATGATGAAGACGTTGGGTCAGTACTCTATAAAGGCCTTTCTCTTAGATTTTAAGCTCTTGGCCCTAAGAAAATGATGTGCATATTGAGATGGCCTTTTCGATGTATCCTTTCCTGGTTGTCTGAGGAGAAGGCGCCGTTATGATCATGGCCAAAGCTTTCAGGGGGTCAGGCAAGTAGCCACCACCATTGTGTAGATGCCGAGTTGTCTGTAAAAGGTCTTCCTTCCCTTCGTCTAAGAACTATAGTAGCCTGTGCCCACTGGGTCTTCTTGTGGGTATCAGAACCCGCTCTGCCACCAGGCTTCCCCGCATTGGGTCTTATTACACATCTCAGGGGCTCCTGGTGCTCAGACACAGCAAAGGAATCCACTTGTTTCTTCCAGAATCCCCTCAGCAGAAGGCTAAACGTGTCTCTTTTGTTTGGGGAGCAGGTATTTTTCCTCGAAAATGATGACCAGCACAATTGCCTAAGTGACCCTGCAGATCATAGCAGATTGACTGAGCATGTTGCTAAGGCTTTTTGCCTTGCCCTCTGCCCCCACCTGAAGCTTCTCAAGGAAGATGGAATGACTAAGCTGGGACTTCGTGTGACCCTTGACTCAGATCAGGTAAGTAGGGTCTTGTGTGGCTTTTAAAGCTGGCCTTGAGCAATGTCTCTGTTCTGTCATGAAATTTCTTGCACCCTTTCAGAGAGCTTGCATCTCCTGGCCTGGTCTATGTCTAGACCAGACTACACATAGCAGTCTGGTCCTCTTCCTCATCATAACTGACATGCTGCTTGATCAGATGCGAATCCATTTGAACTTGGCTTGCTTACCTGCATTTCATCCAAGGAGCTGGTTTGATTAGTGCTGGGGCTTGTGGGGAGGGGCAGGGCGGGGAGTGTGTATGAAGACCTGCCACCTATGCCGTTTGAGACTCCTCAGTCCCCCCCATCGGGAAGTGTACCAATCTGCCCTCTCTCCCAGGGCAGGATTCCGGCAACATCTCCACAGCTGGCCACCAACTATGTGTTTTGTTACTTCAACATTTCCGTGTTGTTAGTGAGTAGGACTTAAGCTCTTTCCCGATGAATGTTCCTGTTAGCTTGGGTGTCCTCCTCCCGGGTTTCCGGTTTCCTCACTTTCCAAGCTCGATCTGATCTGCGCTGCCTTGTTTGTTCTTCCCCCAAAGCTGTGGATGCTCCTTAGGCTGTCATGGGTCTCCCTCCAAAACATTTTGCTCCAGTGTCTCTTCCTCTCAACTTAGCACTGTAATCTCTAGATATTTCTTTAGGATTTTAGAGGCCTCTGGCATGTCCCAGGAGCCCCGGTGGGCCAGCAGTTAAGTGCTCTGCTGCTGACTGAAAGGTTGGTGGTTTGAACCCACCCACCAACCACTTCTTGGAAGAAAGCTGTGGTAGTCAGCTTCCATACAGATGTACACGCCCTCTGGGACAGGTCCACCCCTTCCTGGAGGGTCACTCGGAGCAGGACTTGACTCTATGGCAGTGGGTTTGGGAGTTTGGGTGGCATGTCTCAGGGCCCTTCTTTCATGCTTACTAACAGCCAGACCCCCCCCCTCCTTCTCCCAGCCCTTTATCTCTGAGCTCTTTACGAAGTGGACCTGTCATCCTGACCAAGCTGCTCCGAGGGCTGCTCACTTCCTTTAGTTGTGGGTTTTTTAACGGACATGCGAGTGATTTTTCCAAAGGTTTTAGTGCCTTGTTTTGGCACTCCGGGGGTCTGAGTTGGCCAGTCAAGCTGTTCCAAATGCTTATGAAGAGCTGGGTTCCTGAGAAGCCCTGCCTAGGAGCACAGTGAAAGGCGATGTGCTTGGCTGCTTCCTGACTGACACCAGTCAAAAGTATTCATTTTCTTCCTTTTGTCTTGCCCCGTGCTGAACTGTGCATATCATAGCAGGCTAACACAAAGGAAGTGTCATGGTCCTTCTTTGAATGGTGCTGATAGCCTTACAGTTAACTAATGTCTCTATACAAAATGTGTGCATCTGGTTTGGGTCCCTGTGTTTGTGGATGGTTGGACTTGGGTGGATGGAAGAATGCCCATTTCCTCCTACAGCAGGGGTTTGTCCAGCCAGAGTTAGTGATCCTCACTTTCTTATTCATAATCAAACCTGTAGGTGTTATTCAACTCAGACCTTAGCTGGGCTGAGGGACTTAGACCAGGTCTCACAGCTCCCAAGTGATGGGGTCTGGATAAAGAAGCGCGGGGATGATAAATGACAATTCGGGGGACGGAGGAATATGGATTTGCCGCCAACGGAGGGATTCACACTTTCCTACTTAGCTTGCCTGGCCCTCAGCTTTCTCCAGCAGTCTGCTTCGCCCGTAACCCTCTTCTTCCACCCCCTCCCCCTTCCCCTGCCGTGGTGTAGGTTGGCTACCAAGCAGGGAGCAATGGACAGCCGCTGCCCTCGCAGTACATGAATGACCTCGACAGCGCCCTGGTGCCGGTGATCCACGGTGGGGCCTGCCAGCTCAGCGAGGGCCCCGTCGTCATGGAGCTCGTCTTTTACCTGCTGGAGAACATCGCATAGGCAGGCGTCACTGTCTTCTCTGCAGACATGTTGCAACAGCAAGTCATACCCAAATCATTGCACTTTAAAACTGGATGATTAAGCTTTTGTTAACACTATTATTGGGGGGCGGGGGGAGTGGGGCTTCGGGGCGGGGGTGAAAGGGTTGGTTGGGGGACAGATGTTCCATAATTTAAGTCTTCTATGCATTGTCCACTAAGAGGATCTGGGCAGCTTCTATTACTGCACAACGGTCATGCTATCTTTGCAGCTAATCCCCTCTGTTACTGTTTTAGACACGAATTCCGCTCTTGTTTAAAGACTTCCTTATGGTCATGTGCTCAGAAATGCTCCAATGGGTACAGCCATCACCAAGGGTGGGGTGGGAGGGCAGAGGAGAAATAAAACAATGACGCATCCGTTGTGGACTCTTTGTGTCGAGTTGTCTGAAAGGGAGAACCCCACACATCATAGCTGTTCATGAAGTAGAAGACACACATTTTGGGTTTTTCCCAGATGAGTGAAGTGAGCCCGGGGCTGCTCCCCGACAGGTCAGCGTTTGCAGCCTCCCAGCCGCTCGAGCTGACCCATTGGCAACCCTAAGGGCAGTTCTGCCCTATAGGGTCAGTAGGACTCAGAATCAACTCCATGGCAACAGGTTAGACCAAGGACAGACTTCTGGTGTCAAGTTCACGTGGACGACTGAGTGACTTCAGGACAGCGGGGATTTGCTCCAGGGAATAGTTGGTATTGGATGGGACCTTTCTGTGAAAGCTGGCAGAGTACACGGCCTTTTCAGTTACGGTCTACCAGAGGCGTGTTTTTAAAGCATCCCATCCATCCAAGAGAGTTACAAGAACAAAAAACACTCATGTACGATTTACTCAGTTTCTCCTGTTGTTAACATATAAACATTTTGCCCCATTTGCGTGATCAGTGTTCTCTCTCCACAAGACTGTTTGAGACACTTGTGAGTGAGTGGCATACATCATAGCCCTCTACCCCTAAGTACTTTAATGCTAACTTCCTAAGAATAAGGATATTCTCTTGTAAACCAGAAAGCCCCAGAGGCACAGCGATTACGCACTCAACTGCTAACTGAAAGGCAGGTAGCCTGAACCCACCAGATGCTCCGCAGAAGAAAGGTGAGGCAGTCTCCTGTGGATCCCAGCCTCGGAAACCGCCCAGCAGCTCAGTTCTCTGTCCTGACCTTGCTGAACAGCAGTGGGCTTGGTTGGTGTGACCACCGAATGGTTATCAACTTTACTGAAGTTAGCATTGATTTTTTTTAACCCCACTTCCAGTTTTGCCAGTGGCCCAGTAATGTCCTTCATAGCCCATTGCCCTCCAGGAAGGCTTCTGGTCTAGGGTCAGATGTGACTGTCATGACCCCCGATTCTCTTCTATCTGTAAGGTTTTCATCAACTTTTTTTTTAACTTCAATCCCTTTTGTTTTATTCAAATTTAGATGACAATCTATACTTACTTATGAAATATCCTACTCAAGTAGTTTTTATACATATCAAATTGTACTCTT